TCTATCTATCTATCTATCTATCTATCTATCTATCTATCTATCTATCTGTCTGTCTGTCTGTCTGTCTGTCTGTCTGTCTGTCTATCTAGATTTTTTTCATTCAACCTTTATTTATACAGGTTAGTTCCCATTGAGCCTCTAGGACTCATCTACAAGAGAGTTCTGTTACAGACAGATAAAAGTAGATAAGGAAAACAGAAAACACGAGGGGAGGGGAGGGGAGGTAAAAAAAAAAAAATCATATCTCGCATTATGCCCTGGCCGGGGCACAGTGTGAAAGTTGCAACAAAAGACCTTGCACATAAACAGCAACATACTGATGACATCATAATACATTTATGCATGAGAAGGTCGACAAGGTCACATAAACAACCAGGAGAAGTTGAGATAGCTGGCCAATTGAAGGCTGAGTGGGGAAGCCAAATTCAGATAACACAATTATTTTGTGTCAGGCAGCCTCTGCTTGCATTTCCGTGTCTGCCTTCATTGTTCTGCTGATGTGTCTCAGTGGCAGTCCCAAAAAGCCAAATTTTGTGGTCACGCTGTCGGATCGAGCTTGTAGTCTTCTCCAAGGTCAATTCCTTCCCACCAGTGAGTCCCAGGAACCGCAAGTGGCCTGCAATTCTCAGAAATCGCGTCCAGCTTACAGCTCAACTCATGCAGCATCTGAGTCTGAGAGATTACTGCTCATTACATTCCTTCATACAAAACAGAGACAGACAGACAGACAGACAGACAGACAGACAGACGCATACCTAATGCCTTTGATAGACGTAGCAGTGAAATTCCACTCATGGATCCCCTTCTGTAAACGACAGAAGGTGTAATTTTCACATCATTCACATGTGGGATAAAGCGTTGGTGCTCAGTCAGCTTCGTCTGCATTTGTAATCATGAAATTACTTCACATACAAATTTACAACTCAAATTTAAGTGAAATGAGTATGAATTTAACTTAAATATAATTTTACTTTGTGATAATAAGTAGGATTTGTATTCTATAAAAGTAAAGACATAAATAGTTCTTACAGTTTCAGCAGGAGAAACGTGCCAGATAGAGACGTTCATCTCTTCAGCCTCGTTGTTAATCGACACATAAGAAGGCTGGTAAACCTTGGTCGGCTCCAGAATTAACACCTGCACAAAAAAAAAAACAACAAGATACAGACTTAGTAGCATTTGGATACAACAAAGTCCATGCTCAATAATCCAGGTATACAATCCAACATTTT